CCCCAGGTGGCAGCTGAACCACTGTTGGGGCCATTCCCCCAGCTGGGAGCTGACCCACAACCTGGGGCATCACCCCAGCTGGCAGCTGAACCACTTGGGAGACCCCCCCAGGTGGGAGCTGCACTCCCTGTCCTTGGACACCTGGTACCCCAGGCCAGACAGAAGCCTGAGGCACCACATAGGTGACACTGGGGACATTGAGGGGTTGGGTCGACACTGGCACTGCTCCGCTGCTGTTGGTCTGCATTGCAGCAGTGGTCAGTGGAGGCACAAAGGATCCAGGGATAATCGCGTCAGGTGTCGAAAGCACCGTCGGCATCCGTGGAGAAATTCTCTCTGTGGAGAAATGCCCAAGTGGGCGCTGGGGTGAGATCTGGGGCACTGGCATCCCCTGGAGGGCCACAGTGCCAGGAGCAGAGGGAGCCTGCTGCCTTACCTGCCAAGGTAGCTCGAGAGTGGCAGTGGGGGGTTCCGTGACCGCTGGGGTCAGCCCCTCGCCCCTGAGGTCACAGTGCACCTCTGTGACACGGTCCCATGGTGACACAGGCATTGCTCTGTGCCTGCCCCGCTTGCTGTGGTTGCTCAATGCAGCCTTCCATTGTTTCAGAGGAGATTATAAAGAGAAGGGAAACGAACTTTTTGTGTGGTGATGGTGATTGGACAAAGGGGGAATGGTTCTAACGTAAAGGAGGGGAGATTTGAGTTAGGCGTGGGGTGGGATTCTGTACCACTGCAACAGTGGAACAAGGCCGAGTCCTCCTGGTGTAACTGAATGCATATAAATCCATGGGGCGGGATGATATCCATCCTGGGGCTCTGAGAGAGATGGCTGATGTGGCTGCCAAGCTGCTCTCCATCATATTTGAACAATAATGGCTGTCCGGTGAAGTCCCCGGTGACTGGAGAAAGGGAAACATTCCTCCCATGTTTAAGAAAGGGTGAGAGCGGTGAGCCTCAGCTCTGTGCCTGGGAAGATCATGGAGCAGATCATTTCCATCCTTCCTCTCCTAACAGAGATGGCCGTGAGGTCCTGGGCGATGCGTTGGACTGCAGTGAGGGCAGTGATGGGCAGCTCTGGCTGCAGGGCCACTGCTGGGGAGCAGGTCAGGAGAAACGTGAGGAGCAGGAAAGAAATATGTGCATCTTTTTCAGATTGCTTACCCCAGCATTAAAACATTAATACTTTGCTTTCCTATTTAATACGAAAATCTCGTATTTATTAAGACTCTGGAAGTACAAAGATTTTATCATTTAGAATCCACTAAAAGGCCTAAGAATGACGCATCTCCTAAACTGGACTCCACAGGGAGCTGCTGCATGTGAGACTCACTTTTCCATGTCCTCCTCTGCCAGTGTTCTCTGGTCTTTGTGAGGCCTCTCTTCCCTTCAACAAGGCTTTCTGGAGGTGCTTCGGTTGTTGTTCTGCAATGCTGTGTTATCCTACAGTAGTAGGACAGGCAGCACATGGGACTGTGAAGGCAGGAAAACTAATTATCCCACAGGCTGAAAAAATGACTTCCATTGAGCAGCAGTACTGCATTTAAAGCCAGCTCTAGATTTGTCACATCTTTATATGCTTATGGATGACAAGGTAATGCAGGAGTTCCGTGGCCCTGAATGTCTGATAAGTCATCGGTAGACAAGTGAATGCTTTTTGCAAAGCCCATTTTGTCTGATGCTCACCAGAACTTTGTGCTCTGTTGTAATCTTCCTTCCATGCTTCATGCCTGCCCTTCCTGATTCCACCATCTCAGCCTCCTTGCCTTTTTTTAATTTGATTTTGGTATCCCATGTGTAGGTAGAGCATGTCCTTTTAGTTTAGGTTTGTTGGTGTTTTCATATGCTGCAGTGCTTTGGCCTGAATACTTGTCCTTATTCCGTAGTGGCCCTGAGGGGTTTTCACTGACCCTTTCTGCTAGCTTCTTAGATCATTTTCTCATCTCTCCCAATGTGAATAGGTTGAACTGATTTTAATCCTGTGTTATAATCTAGTGTATTTGTGCTGTAGACCGAAAATGCACGTATCTGCTTTCAACACATCTCTGCACGTACCGACGTGGTGGAAGGAAGAGCACAAACTCTTAAACTTTGTATTGTCAACTCTCTATAATGCATTCATCCTTTTAGTTATTTCGTGGCACACTTTGTGGGTTGTTTTTTTTTACAGTGTGTAGCTCTGAACATGTCAGGTTGAAGTCTAAATGATGCCTGTTAGCCACTTTGTGATTGGATAGACTCAACACTGGACAGGCAAATGCACACAAGAACTGGATATTTGACCAAAATAGTACTTTATTCATGTAATGTTTTGAGACAAAAATGCTGGATCTGTGAGTTGTTTTTGATGCATTGTGCAGCTTCAGGGTTGGATATACTTAGCCTAAAATCTCCAACATTCAGACTTGCACTTGCTTAGGCCTGTTTGTTGATATCCTTAATCTTAAACCTTTCTCCTATTGCATGTCTTTTTTCAGAACAAGAAGAAAACTTTGAGTTTATCATTGTCTCTCTCACTGGCCAGACTTGGCACTTTGAAGCTACCACATACGAAGAAAGAGATGCGTGGGTACAAGCCATAGAGAGTCAGATCTTGGCCAGTTTACAGTCCTGTGAGAGCAGCAAGAACAAGGTATGGCACGTGGAGTAACACTGAGAATAAGTAACAGGTGGTTGATCATTGAGGAAAGCAAAATCAAGAACACTGAGCTTGAAACCTCATCTCCTAGAGAAAAACATGTAGTGTTAGAGCTGCACGCTATCCATCTAAGCAATGTCTTTGCAAGAGGGAAATTCAGGTTTTACAATGAATGCCTGCTTTCATTACCCCATCCTACCAGCATAGGTGTTTTGCTTGTTTCCAGTGTATGTTTCCAATAATAATCGGGATAATAATGTTTGATTCCATTACACATTTCTGAGATGGTGAAAAATCATAACCTATTTGGTTTTGTGTCTGACTTCCATGGATTTATGTGTACCTTAATGTTTACATTAAGGGAGCACAACAGAGAAATCTGTGCACTAACACCTGTGTTTAGAGCACTTACACAAAGTGAGGCAAAGAATGGCTGGTAGCAGTCACTATCCAGTACCTACAGAGAAGATTGGCTTTTGTATAAAAGTAGAATCAATTGTTAAGATTCTGATTGTAGAGATTCTGATTATATATACTCAATATAAGTATACTTAAGCATACTCAACCTGCTACAGAGGTTTTCTTCTGTAAGGTAGGTCCACGGTCTCACAACATGTCAAAAGAACTAACTGAAATACTGTAAGTACAGCAAGTAGGGGTGCAGTAGATGTTGTTGTGATGGAATATCTCCACATGGCCTTTTTTTTTTTTTAGTCATTTGAAAATTATGTTCAGAGAGCCCCTAGTTTGTTAAAGCTGTCGATTTTATTCTCAGAGTGGTTTAATTGGGAAGAGCTGAACTAGCACATGGTGACAGACCCTGCGGATCCGAGCAAAGAGCATTGGCCAAGGACTTGAGGATCCTTGTTCGTTCAGACTTGAGCTGAGCTCTGTGTTGTTTTTTTTCCCCATTTGCTGGCAGTGGTGCTGACTAACCCTGTTTATTGCTCTCTTGTTCGTTCCGTACACCTTCCTTCACATTTCCAGTCGCGCCTGACAAGTCAGAATGAGGCCATGGCCCTTCAGTCGATAAGGAACATCAGAGGCAATTCCCACTGCGTGGACTGTGAAGCACAGAGTAAGTACAGCTGCTTCTGGAGGCAGCGTGGTGTGTTGTGCTTCAGAAAGCTGCCCTCCTTGGTTCCTTGGCCAAGAGATAGGTGAACGTCCACCATGGGCTTTGTCTTTTTTGGCATTACCTTCCATATGTTATGTTCACCTCTCTTCTTCGTTGTGGAGTTTGCTTATCAGATTGATTTCATGTTAATTTATATTTAATATACACTCTGTCAGATAAGTCTAATTTGTTTTCTTCCCTCTTGTACTTACCTCTTCAAACGTGGACATGTTTTCACTTTCCTGTGAAGAAAAGGAAAAAGGAGTTTGTTCTTTGACATCAGCTACTTTCATTTTCTTCCTGCTTTGGGTGGAGAAGACACGTGTACTGTGGTCATATTTTCAGAGAATTAAAGCTTAATTTGTGAGGTTTTTTTGTTTGTTGGTTGGTTTTAGAATTACTCATCAGAAGAAATGAAAGTTATTCCTTGTTGTATGTGGATACCAGAAAACTGATTTGAGAGTTATTTCCTTTCTATGTCTCTTTCCCCCCCCTTTTTTTTTTAACACATATCTAATGTTCAGAAATGTTCTCAAGAATACTTTGAGCTGCTCTTCACCTCACTAACCCCAGCTGAGGTCATTATTCTGTTGCTCTTTAGTTCCAGAGGTTTGTAACAAAGCCATAAAAAGGAAGTACTCTTGCTCTAAAGCAATTAGTTGTAGGAGCAGAAGGACTGAGAACTCCTGCATTTTTACTTCTTTGATATCTGTAAGTCAGAACTTTTCTTGTGATTTTACATGTGCTTAAAATGGAAAAATATTCATTTATTTTTCTTTGAGTACTTTTTTTTAAGATGTACTGTTTAAGATTTTGACTCCTTGTCTCAAGCCATTTAAACTTCCTAGTTAAATTTAAAATGAACATTCATACAGATGTGCAAGTGCTTTTGCACAATTAATTTCCTGTCTCCATAGCTAGCAATTTAGCTGATTCAGTCATCCACACAGCAAACAAACCTATTGTGCCCTGCTTCAACTTCAAAAGGTCTGAAGGAAGGTGGTTAGCACATTCACAGACATTTCCAGTCCATGCCTTCAAAATGTTCTTCACACACAGATTGATTTTAATTGATTCTTTTGAAAATTGTCAGATATTCATATTCTGATGGCTCAGGAACAAAGGCAGCTGCTCTGTCCCCAGCAGTTCAGCCTGCAGGGATATGAGTTTGGCTGGACTAGTCTTTGAGCACCAGTCTCAGACTCTGTCAGAACAGCTTGTTGACCTGTGTGGAGGAGATCACCAGTGGAAATACCACAGGTTTGCCAACACTGATGAATTAAGGACTTTGTGTTCCATTGGCTGGTAAACCAAGGTGTGTTAAGCAAGGAAAAAATGTTAGTTTGGCTGGTATTTTAACACGTGTAGACCACCAAAAAGATGTGTATTTCTTCACATTCTTTCATATTAAGCTGTAGTCACTCAGATTTATTCCAAGGTTTTGGTATAGCACAGGGAATAGCTGTATAAGATGCTGTGCTTTGTTTGACGAGGATGAGGTCTTCAGGTGACCAAGATGTACGTTTTGTTTCTCTGAAGTATCTGAACAGACCAATGGCAGTGTGACTGATTCCTGCTCCAGCCTTTACCAATGTGGGTAGCATTTTCCTAAACCCTGCTAACTGGTTACCCAAGCAGAGTAGAAAAGTGTGATTCATTTACTGCAAACATGTCCTTCCAATGGTTTTTTTTCTCCTTTTCCTGTCAGCCTAGTTGTTCATCCAGATTGCTCCTTGGGGCCAGCTGGCCAGCAGAAGGGACGTGCCAGGAGCACACTGCAGACAGAGGGCAGGATGGGCATGTGCTTTTTGCCAAGCCTTGGTTGTATGGCTTGGGGGTTGGAGGGTGATTTTGGAACCTCAGCTGGAAACTGAATTCGTAGTTCGTATTCCTGGAAATGATTCAAACCTTCAGTCCCCCTTGCCTTTTGGCCTCCCTACTTTTAAAGCTTCTGTATTTCCCTTGAAAAATCTGGGCTGGTTCCGAAGCGATGTGCATTAGAACGTAAAGCTGTGCTCGTTGTGAGCCTCAGCCCGCTCCTCTCGTTGCCAGCATTTGCTTTTTTTCCCTTTCTGCCTTACCCCAGAGCGCTTTGCATCACAAACACCGGCGCTGCTGTGGAAAGCTGACGTAATTTGCATCCTCACAAAGCCAGATGTTTGACAGCAAAGGAATACGAGATGTTGCTGTCCCTCGGTTCTATTCAAGAGCCATCAATCTTCCACTTCAGAAGTCTCATTCTTCCTCTTTCTAGAGCTGTTTGGCTTTTTAGCACTTCATTACAGCGCTTTGTTTCACTGGGGAATTGCTGCTTTGTTGTACTGGCGTGCTGCGGGCTGCTGGCCCTTTAGCCGCCCTGAGCTGAGCTTTGTCAAACTCCTGTCCTAACTTTCCTGTCCCGGGGCTGAATTTCTGCCCACAGCTCCATTTCTGCCTCCTCCCGTTGTAAAGATGCCAGAGGATAAACTTGGCTCACTCCTCTGAGGTGCCTCATCAATTCTCTTGCTTTCCTCTAAAAACAAGAGTCTCATCATGGCTTTTCCATGCCAACGGTCTATCTAGTGGTACTTTTTGGATTTGACAGCCGAACACTGAAGCGCTGATTTCAGCAGCCTGTCAGACCCATCACCAGAATTCCTTTTTTTTCTGTACGTAGAATAAAATTCTCAAAGGATTGAAAAGGTAGGCCTTTTTCTCGCTCTTTGCTCCAGCTCTGCAAGATGCTGCTCCTCCTTTCCCAACCAACTGCTGCTCCTCCTTTCCCTGCTCTTCTGCTCCTCTCTTCAGAGATGCCCCTGCTCAGGTTGGCACTCTTTGCCATGCTGAATCCAGATGAGTTTAGCATGGGTGACTCTTCCATCAGCCTCCTCGTGTCCGCAGCGATGAAGGAGATGGAGAGGGTTATTCTCCCAAAATAGTTGTCTCCAAAGCTTCCTCCTTCAAGTGATTCCATTTGATCAAAGTTAAAGCCAAAATGGGAGGAAGTTTTTAGAGGAGAAAATGAAGCATTTAATCTGGGAGTATTCAACAGTGTAAAAATGCCCCTATTTTACCAGTTACAGCTTAAGATGTTAGACAGGAGCACTGAATTTCACAAGGAGCCATCCCTGGTCGTCTACGAAGGCTGCTCCAAAAGTAATGCCTCCTGCTTTATGGTCTGCAACATCGGAGGCAGAATTGGAGGTACAGCAGGCTGAACCTTGCCACCGTGTCCCATTATGTTTTGTTGCTGTGTGACAGATGGCAGCTGAGGGGCAGGCTGACAGAATGGCATCAGACATGGAAGGGCATATGAAGCAAAAAAGTGCAGTTGAATTCCTCCATGAAGAAAAGATAACACCCATGGAGTACCAACACTTGCTGAACGTTGATGGAGACCAAACAGTGGATGTTAAGACAGTGTGGGGCAGTGGTGGAATAATTGCAAAAATATTTATCAGTAATTTTTCTCTTGCTGCATTCCGAATTGCTTCTTTCAGCTCCTGACGCCTTTTGTGTCTGTGAAGATAACCCTGGCCTTTGCAGGTCAGGGGCAGAGATTTCATTCTAAGTCTCAGTTTATCAGTTTAAACCGAATATCTGCCCCATTCAAGCTTTTACACACAAATTAGCACGTTAGTGTATTTCACACATACTGCTCGAGTTCCCCTTCTGTCTGCAAGACACTGCAAGTAACTCATGGAGGTGACCTGGACAAATATGCAAGAAAGGAATGTTTAATGCTTGTCTTCCCAAGGACTTGTAAAGCACGGCAGGCGTTTTGTCTTCTGTATTTCTGGAGATCTGAAATGCTTGCTGTTTCTTCCTAGGGTAAGACTTACCTTAGAAACTTTTTAAACAAAAGATCTGTTTTTCTGCTTAACTGAAATAAGGTGGTGGGTTTTCTTGTGGTGTAGGTTATTTTTTTTTCCCTTCTAATTTCTATAATTTTTTTTTTCCATTTCAATTTCTGAAGACTGACGAGAGAACGTCTGCTTTTTCAATGAAATCTTATGCTTATCTTCTATCTTCGGGGTACATTTGAAGTGTCCTTTCTGTCCACTTGTGACATGGCAGAAAACTAAGAAACATATTCCTTGCTCATACTTTGGTTACCAAAAATGATTTTTTAATTTTGAGTGACACAAACTGGAAATATCGCCAAAGTCCTCTGATGACATTTGCACGAATAGAAGGGGACACTGGAAATGTATTTCCTGTCGGCTCAGAATTTTGTTTAGATTTGAATGAAAATTGTGCCTACCCTCTCAATTAATGGTGATTTTCCTGCTTGTCATTTGTGATAGTCTCCTCATTCTTTGGGAGGCCCAGGGTAAAGAGAGAAGAAAAGATCTGACAGCAGGTGGGAAAAAAGCCACCAAAAATTCCTCCCATAAAGTCTTTCATTGCATTTGTTGAAGTGAATGTTTGTTGAAGAGGGATATTCATACAAACCTAGATTTAAATAACACAGGACAGTGACAAAAAGTGAACCATCTTGGGAAATGACTTTGAATTTCCCGGCTTTTGTCAGGTTTGTCGCTGCCTCATCATTTGCAGGGTTATTTTTTTTTTTGTCTGTGGAATCCTTCTGGCTAGTACACTAAAACTGGGACTGTTCAAAGCATCACATTTTCATCTTAGTACTTATCTCCCTGATCTTAGAGATGAAAACATACCCCATAGTGTGTTAGATGTAAAAGCCATATGTAGGTGATGATATAGATGGTTATTAAGGGAGTTGATATAGTTAGCAACAGAGACATTGTGTCTACTCTTTTTTTTTCCTTCTTTTTCTCTTGTAATTGGCTACGAGTGACTCTAGATTCCCAAGGAGGGACTTTTTCTACTACTTCTTCATAAGCTGCCTGCTTATATTTTCTTTGTTTCTTCTTTTCTTTCTTATTCACCTTTTCCTTTTGACTGAAGCTGGGCTGCATCTCTTGTGATCCCTCCCCCCTTAGGGTTTCTCATTAGTGCCTTAAGAAGGCAAAATAGAGCCTTCTGCTAGACTTCCCAACTGTGCTGTGAACGAGGACGCCGGAATATTTTTTTTCCCATTGTGTTTGGAGGCAAAATCTTTATCCACAAATATTAACCAGAAAGTTTTGTTTGGTGTTTTATTGCGCTGATGATGGCCTTTGTCCTTTTTTTCTGCAGACCCTGACTGGGCCAGCTTGAATCTGGGAGCCCTCATATGTATCGAATGCTCAGGTATACACCGAAACCTTGGCACACACCTCTCCCGAGTCCGCTCTCTTGACCTGGATGACTGGCCTATAGAGCTCATCAAGGTGATGTCTTCAATTGGGAATGAGCTGGCAAACAGCGTTTGGGAGGAGAGCAGCCAGGGTCATATGAAACCTTCATCAGATTCCACGAGGTATGGTTTCTTTCTCCATGACTGTGGCATGCAGTGGTCGGGCAGCATGTAATTGTACGGGTGGCAAAGACTGTAAACTGTAAACCGTGAGCCTCAGCAATTAATTCCTTATTTTGGCATCTCAGTCACAGGTGGTAGGACAAGGGGGAATGGTTTTAAACCGAGACAGGGGAGGTTTAGGTTGGATATGAGGAGGAATTTTTTCACCCAGAGGGTGGTGAGGCACTGGCACAGGTTGCCCAAGGAGGCTGTGGATGCCCCATCCCTGCAGGCATTCAAGGCCAGGCTGGATGTGGCTCTGGGCAGCCTGGGCTGCTGGTTGGTGACCTGCACACAGCAGGGGGTTGGAACCAGATGAGCATTGTGCTCCTTTGCAACCCAGGTCATTCTACGATTCACAGCATAGACTTAAATTCTTCCTTCATGCACCCCTTGTAAAAATCATTGGGTAAATGTCTTCACTGCAAGTCCAGGAAGAATGTACATCGAATGAGATGTGTGTCAGAACTAGGTGACCCTCATGTTCATTCATGCCTGTGAAGGCTTTCTGAGCAGCTCTCCAGTTTTTTGTACAATTCACTGACTGACAAAACAGTGGGAGTTTTAACCTCCCACTTGGTTATACTTCAATCTAAATTATGCTGTCATAAGTTTCTTAGTTTTGTTAAGCCAAGTTCTGGCTCTTGGACTATCAGTTTATGATTAATAATCTGCCTTCAGTAGTTCAGGCTCAGCCAGGACACTGCCATGCAATTTGCATCTGGCTGTCAGGTCTTCGGGTTCTCATCACAGCTGTGGTGAAAGTCCTGCTCAGCTGGACTTGCTTACTTTCTTTATGTGATAAATACGAAGGCGTAAGTTGATGGGGGAACGCGTGTTTCCTGTGAGAACAATTTTACCTACCAGTCTTAGCTCAGCACAGTGAAAATCTTTCATGATGTATTATCCCACTGAAGTCTGAAGGTTTTTTATGCTTAATTTATCTGATGGCTGTCAAAGAAAGGAAGACTTGCTGATTTTAGTGGATTTGAAGTGTAGGTTCTAATAGTTCTAACTAACATATTGCCTGGGAGACGCAGAGTGACTTCTGGCAGACTGTATTTCAGAGGAAGGGAGGAAGACCTTCTGGACTACCTCACCCAGCTGGGCCAGTCTTCTCAGTTGTCTTTAGAAGTGTGTTGTAATTGTCTGAGTGTGAGCTCTGGGGCAGCAGCCTGTGTCTGAGCACCGTTCAGTCCCTAGGCAGCAAATGATAGGACAGAGGTTAGGCTCTCAGTGTTTGCTTCCTTCATATAAAAGAAGTCGAAGGGAATTGTGTCCCTATTTTGCTTATGTATGGATGGGTTTTGCTTTTTCCCGTGCTGGATCAAGTGAAATTATAACCTGGGAGTTTGTAGCAGTGCCACCTCTTGCTGTGCAGAAGTAGGGTTGTGCTGTTGTCTGCAATAAAGTCAACTGTTTCTTATTGCATTATTTCGTTAGCACTGAAAAATGAATTTGTGGTGCCACCTTTGGTTCGTCTTCGAGAATGAAGCAAAGTACATTAATCAGGCTACTTGGGGGAATGGCTGTGCATATAAATGCGTTCAAAGAGACCTACACAGAGACTTCACCCATACATAAACTGTGTGTCTGCTAACATACACGTGTGCTATTATACAGTAAATACAGTCATTTCATCAGTTAGGTTGAAATGAACTTCTTATTGCCTTTCTGTCATTAGCATTGCTTTCTGCCTGATCCAAAAATACCTTACACTGCTGCACTTAACAAATGGATCCTGGTCCTTACTATTGAGGTGAGCAGAAAATATACATCAAAAAGAAAGGCATGCACTTAATTGGGTATATTTAAATAGCACTGTGTTAGGATTCATCTGTAAATTAAAGACATTATCGTGATACATTGACACCACGTGTGATGAAGATTAAATAACTCAGTTTTTCATATTTGGAGGTGAGTCTTACTTATATAAAATCAACTCTTCTTGCATTTCTTGCTCAGAGCTTATTTTAATTCTTTGTTTCTGTACGACATGTTTATATTTTGCTGTTAAAGTTTGTCAGTTATGTAATTTTTCTTTTTCTTTCTTTCTTTCTGGACTGTTATAGGCACAAAAGATATACAGATTAATTTTGTATTTCCAATTATGTGTTCAAGTGCATACTTACGTACTGGAAAAGATAGATGGTAGAGAAAATAAAGCTAAGATTATGTGAAAATTTGCCCACAGAACAATTTTAATCTTGTTCTCCTCACTCCATCTTTTTCCTGCTGTTCGGAGCAGGACATGAATGATACTTTGCAGAGGAATATCTGAAATTCTGCCTTTTCAAAGCGTGTGCTTCCCTTTGTACTTTACTTTGGTCTTCTATTAGCCTGTTAATCCTTCTGCCCAAGACAGGACAAGAAAATAAGGCCAGCATCTCAGACTGCGTTCAGCTTTTTCTTTTGCTTTGAGTTTTGCACGAGGATTCCTGTTAGGAGCAGCAAAAATAGATTTTAAGTGGGGTTAGCAAAAAAAGTGAGGAGGCACTCAGAGATCAGTGGATGCCATCCTGTTTAACGTATTTCATCGTGATGTGGATGATGGGTACCCTCAGTCAGCCTGCAGGTGACACCCAAGTGATGCCCCAGAGGGATGCGAGGAGGCTGAGACACGGGCTGGGAGAACCTTGTGGAGTCCTCTGCTGTGAGGAGAGGTTGAGAGAGCTGAGGCTGCTCAGGCTGAGGGAGAGGAGACTCAGGGGAGTCCCAGCAATGTCTGTAAGTACCTGAAGGAGAGTGCAGACAGGATGGAGTCAGTGGTGCCCAGTGCCAGGAGCAGAGGCACTGGGCACAAACTGGAGCACAGGAGGTTCCGTCTGACCATCAGGCTTGTGTGCAGTGACAGAGCACAGGTACACAAAGGCTGTATGGTCTCCTTGGAGATCTTCAGACCCACCTTGACGTGGTGATGGGCACCCTGCTCTGAGTATCTCTGCTGGAGCAGGGGTTGGGCCAGAAGGACCCAGAGGTCCCTGCCAGCCTCAGCCCATCTGTCATTCTTTTGTGTGAAAGCAAGCAGAAATACGTCTGGGGAGCTGAGATATTTGGAGAGCCTGAGGATATGTGGAGATCAGGAAGGAAGGGAGCATTCAGCAAAACAACTTCTGATGGGTGAGAGAGCTGATACGTGCTCTTGGGGAGTTGTGCCTACCCACGCTGCTGAGCTGCTGGGTCAGCCAGAGTCTGAGAGCTGCTGTGTGAGGAGGCAGTAACTCAGTGTGTTCCTGCTTTAATGATTTCCCACCGAAGCCCCATCACACTGGGGAGAGAAGTAATTCTGTTTTCTTCAGAGTTTCTCCTGAACTTGATGGTATCTCTGTTCCCTTCTGCATCCCCTCATTACACGTCTCTCACAGTACCGCCCTTTTCAGTTGCACTACGTATACTCATTAATCTAACCTCCATAGTTTTCCACATGCTTGCTCAGACTTTGAGTCAGTGCCTACAAAGTATTGGGAAAACAAGAACCTTCTTAACCTTTCTCCCAACTGATTGAAAGGCCTTAATGCAAAGCATCTGTAAAAGACCTTAAACAAACACAGCCTTCATGTGTTTCTTTATGATAAGCATGTATTTTAGCTCTTCTTTTGTCTGCTGTGCCCCCCCTCCCCACAAAACCACCAGAACTTGTCTGCACAATGATGGACCCTCTGTTAATAGACATTTGTAGAGAGAACCAGGCAATTTAGGGTTTCATTATTTCACATTGTCTCTTTCTATTGGAGATGAAGCCATCAGCACAAATGAACAGGCTTTCAAGGGCAGGGAAGGACTCTTGACTGCTCCACAAATATTGTATCCGTTGGCCTGGCAAGCTCAAGGAGTATTCACATGTCAGACTGAGGGGAACCCAAAAATATTGATGAGCGTGGTTTCAAAAGCAGCCCTTTCTGCTTGTGAGAAGTCAGCACAGAATGACTGCAGTGGAATTCCATGTGTTCTTGTTGAGTAGAGGGAAGTGTGAAGGACTACCAAATGGTTGACTCTAGGCCACAGCACAATTGAGGCATCTTACCCAGGCAAATGGCATCAGTGTGTATAAAAATCGACCTACGCCAATCTTTGAGTGCAGCTTACTTTATTTTGTACACCCAGAAGTAAGTCCAACCAACAATCAGGCTTGAACCACATCAAACACACCGCACTGCTGTCCTTTCCTAGTGCATTCATATTCACCTAAAACTCTTTCTCTGAGAAAATCATGGGAAACCTGAAAGCGTATTTTGAAGGTCAGAAAGGCTTTCGTGTTGGAATTTATGAACTCAAAGCCTGAAAGTTTTGTAGCAGAAGTCCTGGCTCCCACAGCTTTCATCAAGGATATTGGCCAAGTGCATTCTCTAATGTTAACTTGCACCAGATCTCGTAAGAGTCTGAGAGACAGTTTATAAAATGATCAGATCTCTGGGTCATTCACTGCCTCTGAATCAAAAGCAACACCTTGGATTGCATCTAGCATTAAACTGGAAGATAATGAGAGCACAGGTGCAAAAGGATCCCCCAAGGAAGAGGCATAATGTAAAGCAGTAGCATGAGCCAAAGTTCAGATTGCGGGTGTTCGCATGGCTACAGCAAGGAAGGAGGAATTAACATGAGCTCCTGGTGGGTAAGAAAAGTTGGCAAAGCAGCAGAAAAACCTAGCACAGGAGAATATGTGAATGTAGAAGGAAAAGGGGACCAGCTGGCCTGTGAGTGTTGTCCGTGGGCTTCTGATTAGGTCAGCTTTAGAAGGCTGGTAATTGGTTCCAGCAATTACCAGCAGCCCTGAGAACCACCACTCAAACTTCGGGAGCCCTGTGACAAATTGAAGCTGACTGCTGGTGAAGGAGTATTGACTTCCCATTTCTAAACAGGGGGATCATTAGTCAAGAAAAGCATCTTTTAATTACTCACAGGAAGGGAAAAAAAAAAAAAAGAAAAAAAAAGAGATCTTTCAGTATGGATCCTGCAACAAC